CCTCTCACTGCCCTCACAGGGAAGAATTCCTCCTTAATATCCCACCTAAATCCACCCTCTGCCAGCTGAACTCCTGCCCCTCAGGGCTCTGGGATCTCCCTGCCACGAGCAACCCCAAAGGGATCTCCCACTTTCCGGGACAAAACCGCCTCTGCCGAGTCTCCCGGCGCCCCGAGCGGAGCTGGGAGTGTCTCCTAAGAGATCCTAAGGAATTACCACAGCCCTCAGGACCTCCACGGTGCTTCCCAGCCCTGTGCAAACATTGGCTTCCTGATCACTCCTCGGGGACGGGCCCGTGGAGCGGGGCCATGGCTCATTGAGTAAAACCATCCCAGCCCTCTCCATCCCTTCCCGCTCCCCCCGGGGACGGCTCGCACCGTTCTCCCCTTCCCACAGCCAAGCCCCAGAGCAGCCAAAATTAAAAAAGCCCGTCCCAAATTCACACTGCTGGGCTTTCCCTGCCCTCCAAACCCACCCTCCAATCCCACTTGGAGGCTTCTTCCCTCGAGCCTGGATTTAATGAAGCTGGAAAACCAGGAAGGTGGGAGAGGCGGCGTTCAACGGCACGGCGGGTTTGCAGGGGAGGGCACAACCTCTTGGTGGTGGGAAAAGGCCCCAGGAATGATGAGGATGTTCCCACAACGTTCCCACAGCGGGCCAATTTATCCCTCTGGCTGTGGGCAGAGGGATCCCCTCACAACCCTTTCCATCACTGGGTTGGGTTTCCATCACCCCAAGGGCTCCACCAGGATCCAGGAGCTCTCCCAGCCCACAGCAGGAGCAGGGTGGGTGCTCCAGGGGGGCTGAATGGAGAAGAGAGGGTGGCAGCAAAAAGCCCCACAAAAACCAACCAACCAACCAAACAAAACCAAAAAACCACCAGAAAAAATGAATTTTCACGCTTAGAGAAATCAGGGAAATGTGGATGACGACGAGAGCCAGCTTGGGAAGTTTTTGAGTGTTCCCACTCTTCCTGCAAGGATGTTCTAATTGGGAAATCGAGGCTGCTCGGTGCCCTTTAGCTCAGCCCCTTTGAAGAGGGAGGTTGAGCACCCAAGTCGCTCGTTAACTCTGGGAAATGTTGGACACCAGGGAAGATTCCACGTTTTTTCCATCACTGACAATCCAAACCAGACCAACCAAGCCCAGCTTGTACAGAGGTGATCAAGAAACACACGTAAAATTTCAAAATATTAAAATCAGGGTCATCACAACACTTCATGGTCATGGACAAAGAGATGTACCAGTCCCCAAACAAAACCAAAACCATGTGAGATGGGTGGAAGACAAGGAAGTCCTGAGGGATCACACCCTGCTTTCCACCTTCTCCACTCCAAGAACTTCAAGAACCATCAGTGAAACTTCAAAAACCATCAGTGTAACTTCAAGAACCACCAGTGACTTACCATCCTCCTGCAGGTCTGACGGGAGGGATGTCATGGAAGGGGCCAAACTGCAGCTCTGATTTTCATCAGAACTGTCCTGTCCAAAGCCAGGCTCATGTTGATCCTCCCCTAGAAAGAGAAGAGAGCCTGATTTTAGTGGGCACATCCTCAAACCCAAATGTTCCTGCCTTTCCTCCCAGCTCCCACCGAAGTTCTCTACAAAGCCCCAAAATGCTTTTGTGGGTTTTAAGGGATTTAAGGCCAGACCCATCACTCAGGGCCAAGGCAGTGCATTCCTGCTGCCAGAACACTCCTGCTGGATATGTGCAGCCTCCATTCCTGGAAGGCACACAAGGAAGGAGCTGAAAACACCAGTTTTGGGGGCCAAACTATCAGAAGTACATCAAAACTCCTTGTTCTCACTCTCAGCAAATAACCTCCCCATAAATCATCCCCGTGTAGAACAGAGCACTGTGCCACCTGCTCCACCAGAATGAATAATCTCCCTGTGTTTTAGGAAAAAAGCTCTGAGATCCTTCATTGGAGAGTGACAGGGACAAAGAGGCTGACTCCGTGCCAGGCAGGCACACACGAATTCACCAAGTCCCACATCTGGGTGTGGAGGCAGGAGCTGCTCCATCCCCACCCTTGGATGGGGCAGGGAATTGTTTTTTGCTGGGGAATTTGTGACTGATATTGGGTTTTCTGCAGGAGGCACTTTGAGGCACTGCAGTGACAGATGTTAATAGCAAAATTTAATGTAAACGGAGCACCGGCCTACCTGGAAAGGAAAACACCACTCACCCCTAAACAAAGTGAAAAGGGGTCTTTTCAAGCTGATATTTCCTGAGCACACAGAGCCCAGACTGCTGATAGCAGAGGTAAAGACAGCTGCTTGCTCATTCAACACGCACCAAACAGCGAGAAAGGCGAGTTTTCAGCTGATGTTAATTGTGCTCAAACACTAAACCCCAAGTTTTATCTGGGCAAACAGAGGAGTTTTAAATCAAGCCCTGATGAAAGGGCACCAGGGGCCTGGCAGGGAGGTTCCAACCCTCTCCCCCTCCCCTCCAAGAACCAGAGTGGAGATGCTGTTAAAGCCTCAGCTGCAGAAAGACCCGACACAACATTTCGGAGGTGGTTTATTTTTAACAACCTGAAGCTCCCTCAGGACCCCCCCCTCCCAGGCTCCTGCAGTCAAGAAAACTTCCAGTTCCTCATCCAAAGGAACAACCTGGCTGTGAAGAACATAATGCACAAGATTGTCCTCCCCCAGCTCAGCTTGTTCAAGCACAAATCACACCGTGCCAGGCACCGGCAGAGCCTCCTTGACACCAAAAGCTCAAAGGTCTTGAAAATCCGATGGGAGACCTGACTTTGGGATTTACCAAAGGCTTTTGGGGGGTCAGTGACACAGCACAGGGGTCCCTGGCAGTCCATCCTTGAAGCCATTGCAGCTTTCCCGACAGGGGAAGAGCCCAAGCAGCAATAAACCCCTTTCCCGGCTCTATTCCCACTTTGCTTCCAGCAGCCTCAGGGTGGAACCATCGGATTTCGGAGGAAAAAAGGAAATTCAGAAAATAACTCCTCTCCTTTGGGGGAGGTGCCATCGTGCAGCACCATCTGCACTGCTGACTCCTCGTGCCAAGGGGAGAAGCTGAGGGTTCCCTGGCCCCAAAAGGGCAGGCTCCGATCCCTCCCGATGGATCCCACGGGATCCCAGGGATCACCCACCCACACGCTCATTCTGGGCCACGAAGACCAAGCCAGGCACGTTCCTGCGTGCTGCAAGAACCCAAAACTCACACAGGCACCTCCAGGAGGTAAAAAATACCCAGTGAGGGGTTAAAAAGCAGAGACAAAGCCCCGCTCTGCTGAGCAGGCTCCGAGCACATCCCTGAGCGCTCCGACCTTGGCCGAGTCCTCCCGGTGCTCAGCTCAGCTGGGTGTGACAGGGGGATGTTTCTTCCCCATTTCACCCCTATAAAAAGGCTCTAATAAAAAGGGAAACGGGGGGTTCCTTCCCAGGAGGAGCCTCCCCGTGCTGTGCCACCGGGATGCGCCGGCGCGCCCGGACACCTTCCACGAGCCCCTTCGGCCCCTGGAAAAGGACATTTCCTCCCAGCCCGAGCATGCTGTGGTAAAATCCGCTTTTCCAGAGCGGCATGGAGGTAACAGGTGGTCCCTCCTAACGAGATCCAGGTGCAGGATTATGGGGATAACGAGCAAAGTGTTCCCGGGCCCGGCACGGGGAGCGCCCGAGCGTGGCTGCACTAAACCACTTGGAACAGGAACAAGGGCCCCCAGCAGCAAAGTTCCTTGCAGGGATCAGTCACAGGAGGGCTTACTGTTCCCCTGAACAGCAGGAGAAGCTGCTCCACACACCAAGAGAAGCTGCTCCACACATCAGCCACGGAGCCCCAGGTCCCAGAGCAATTCCCACGCATGGAACACGCTCGTCCTCATCCCTGTGCAGGAGGGGAAACCGGGGGGTTCACCCCAATATAACTCACCCATAATCCACCCAAACATAATTCAGCTAGAAAAGGATCAAATCCATAAAAATCTCCCCGTCCAGGGAGCGTTCCAAGCACGGCAAGAGCCGGGACCCTGCGAGCTGCTGCGGCACAAATCAACCCAAACAAAAGTGTTTGCTTCCCTTAGGAATGTTTTCAAACACCACCTCTCAAGTCACAAAACAGAAACCAAAGGAAAAAAAAAAAAACTCTTCCGCCTGAAACTAATCCTATGGCTTTTCCATTTGGATTTGCATCACCAGAACTTCTCTGTGCTTTAATCCCCTTTCTCCATAAAGTTTATGGAGCAGCAACAGCCAGTTGAGTCCAAGCAGAAAAAAAAAACAACCAACAACTTGTCAGGGGCCAAGCTATTGTTCTGATGAAGAAAAAACTCATTAGCTTTTAATGAAAACACAGGGAATAAAAACCAAATAGGCACAGAACCCCAGCAAATAATTACCCTGCACCTGACGCAGTGCTGCTCCATCTTCCTGCTCCAATCCCCAGCAAAACCCCCCGACTTGTCGCTCTTTGGAGCACAAACAAACCCAAGATTGGCTCTAAGGGAAACAGCGAGAGGTTTCTTGGGCTTAAACCTCATCCAGGGGCTCCCCTGGCACTGTTTGCTGTCCCCAGGGGGGGTTGAAGACCTGGATTTCTTGTTTTGTGGCACAGGAAAGATGAGGTTATCCCATCTTTGAGCTGCCTGGCACTTCCTGCAGCAGCAGGGAAGCTTGAAGGCTTTCTGTGGAATTAACACAGATTTATACTGATCTTTCATACTTCTCCATTCTAAGCAATTCCAGAGGGGGCAGGTGTGTCCCTGGTGTCTCCAGGAGAAGTCCAGTGCCTTTGGACAGGTCACAGAGGCCACACCAGGTCCTGCAGGACCCAGGGAGGTCACCCAGACCTGGCATCAGGCAGAGACCAAACCTCTGGCAGAGCCCTGGCACTGGGGGAGGAAAAAAACACCAAGAGACCAAAAAGAACCTTCTTTGGCACTAACAGGGCTCTGAGCAGGGAGGAGCCACAGGAGGAAGAGGCACCACGAGATTATTTACAAGTGTCGGGACAAGGGGGAACGGCTTC